TCGTATCTCCTTTTCCCAAAGTGTCCATTTTAATGTCTCCCTTACTGACGCTCAGATTGTCCACTAAAATGGATAATTTGGGAAGAGCAGATACGATTATTCGAGCCTTGTGGCTAGTTTTTTATGGTTATCGATTATCAACAACTATAAAAACGAGTTGCAAGGCTCGAACAATCGTATCTCCAGTTCCCAAAGTGTCCATTTTAATGTATCCCTTACTGACGCTCAGATTGTCCACTAAAATGGATAATTTGGGAAGAGGAGATACGATTATTCGAGCCTTGTGGCTAGTTTTTTATGGTTATCGATTATCAACAACTATAAAAACGAGTTGCAAGGCTCGAACAATCGTATCACCTCTTCCCAAATTGTCCATTTTAATGTCTCCCTTACCGACGCTCAGATTGTCCACTAAAATGGATAATTTGGGAAGAGCAGATACGATTATTCGAGCCTTGTGGCTAGTTTTTTATGGTTATCGATTATCAACAACTATAAAAACGAGTTGCAAGGCTCGAACAATCGTATCTCCAGTTCCCAAAGTGTCCATTTTAATGTATCCCTTACTGACGCTCAGATTGTCCACTAAAATGGATAATTTGGGAAGAGGAGATACGATTATTCGAGCCTTGTGGCTAGTTTTTTATGGTTACCGATTATCAACAACTATAAAAACGAGTTGCAAGGCTCGAACAATCGTATCACCTCTTCCCAAATTGTCCATTTTAATGTCTCCCTTACCGACGCTCAGATTGTCCACTAAAATGGATAATTTGGGAAGAGCAGATACGATTATTCAAGCCTTGTGGCTAGTTTTTTTATGGTTATCGATTATCAACAACTACAAAAACGAGTTGCAAGGCTCGAACAATCGTATCACCTCTTCCCAAATTGTCCATTTTAATGTCTCTCTTACCGACGCTCAGATTGTCCACTAAAATGGATAATTTGGGAAGAGGAGATACGATTATTCGAGCCTTGTGGCTAGTTTTTTATGGTTATCGATTATCAACAACTATAAAAACAAGTTGCAAGGCTCGAACAATCGTATCTCCTCTTCCCAAATTTTCCTTTTTTGTGCAGAATCTGAGCGTCGGTACGGGAGACATTACTGTAGTCCTGTCGGGGCATGCGGACCAACGAAAACTCCGAGCGGACAAAGACCCGTGATCCAGCGGCGTTGCACAACAAAAGTGATCCCCAACACGTAACACCTTTCCTGAAACATTCCGCGCCGAAGTCGACGATGTTCAGTGGAACAGAACTGGCATGTCGTTTCGCAACAAACGCCGATCGAGTGGTGTAACACGGAGTGGTTTTTCTCTTCCCGGTTTTACGCGTAACGCGATTTTTCCCGTTGGACGACATCAAGGTGCCACATAATGATCCAGCAGCTGCTCATCATCGCGCTGTACGCAATAATTCTGATCTGTTACGTGGCGCGTCCAATGTGTATCACTCGTCCGTCGTTCATCAGCTAGAACCAGTGCGGCCGGGGCCTCGTAGCTCGCCTTTAAAGCTCAATTATTTATATACGGGGCTCGCCCGTTCGCTGATTCGCTCGTGCGATGATTACGCCAATCATAATACAGCCGGGCTGCTAAGAGCCGGGCATTGTGATTGGCCCGTCGCGGATCAGGCTAACTACTCGCAGAAATCAAAGAAAATAGAAACAAGACCGATCCTCGATCACCTGTAATTGTGCTGCGTCTGTCCAAGCCGCTACACCTTTGATACTTAGCGATGCACAATTTTCTCTTCGTGGCTCGCTTCTGCGTGTCCGTTACCTCGCTCGCCGATCCAGCTGGTCACTTTCGTGTTTACAGCCGTATTTATTAACGCTCTGCCGCCCGGTGGCACCACGCTGGTGCCATGCAAAAACTGTCTCTGCTGTATGCCGGTGGTACCACTTTGGCACCATTTTAAAAAAACTGAAATAACATTTGAACTATATTTCTTGGGCGTTGAAAGGCAGCGAACTAACTAATAGCATTGTGATTATTTAACTAAGAATTAAGTACGAAAATTCTTGGAATTTATATTACCCGCCATCTTCGACATTTTTTTTTAAATCTAAAACTTCCAAGTTATTATACCGACGTCAAACAAAAGAAATCATATCTAAGATCTGCGGACGGCATAGTTGTTAAGACGACATGCGCATCCCGCGCGACCGATCATAGGTCCGGGGCTCTTCCCTTTTCGCAAGCACCCCGCGTAACGCATACAGGGTGTCCCAAAAATGTCTCGCAATCCGAAAGTAGGGGATTCCTGAGGTCGTTTGAAGCAACTTTTTCCTTAGCGAAAATGCAATCCGCGGCTTCGTTTACGAGCTATTAACGAAAAACAGTGACCAATAAGAATCGAGTACGGCTGACGCGTGGCGGCCCAGCCAACCAGCGCGCGAAGCCCAGTTCTGCTCATTGGCTCGGTCGCCTCGCGCCAGCTGAGCTGGGATTCGACCGCTCGACCGCTGGCGCCGTTGGCTCGGCCACCTCGCGTCAGCCGTACTCGATTCTTATTGGCCAGTGCTTTTCGTTAATAACTCGTAGACGAAGCCTCGGAGAAAATTTTCGCAAAGGAAAAAGTTGCTTCAAATGACCTCAGGAACGTTCCATTTCCGGATTGCGAGACATTTTCGGGACACTCTAATAGCCGCGTGATATTGTTATTCAACGATCCGATTTTTAGAGACCTTCGATACCTGGAATCGATGCTAGGTATGGTAACTTCGACCGATTTGACGGTAACCTCTGCTTCGATGTTTAAAGCTTGATAATAAAATACGACGATAATATCCATATTTGGTCCCAAATATTCGGAACGAGTCCGATACGATATTACAGTAATATCAGATTGACCATAAAAGTGGACAATTTGGGAAGAGGAGATACGATTATTCGAGCCTTGCGGTTTATTTTTTTAGCTATAAATTGTCCACAATTATAAAAACGAGCCGCAAGGCTCGAATAATCGTATCTCCTCTTCCCAAATTATCCATTTTAGTGGACAATCTGAGCGTCAGTTAGGGAGACATTACTGTGTAGGGCAAGGTGTTAACGACGAAGAACTCCTAAATAACAGAATCGGGCAAACGATATCACAATGCGAATGCAAATGTCGAAAGACGCTCCGTGACATGTTTAATTCATCCTTGAAATTAAGCATATTTTGCTGAATGCAAAATGTATTTCAGTTCTCCGCCATGTTACTTTCTAGAACCAACGGAACCCACTCGCGGCCCATATTCTGTAAATCGCGTCTCCTCCGGTGCTCTCCACGGCCCGCGCTTCACTCATTTTCTCGGATCATCGCCTACCATTCGATGTCTCAATCCCCGAGTTAACCAACGCAATCCGTAAATTGTCGGTCGAGTATCATCCTTCGCGGCAACCTTCTTGCACGAGCGAATGAGTGCACGAGACAGTCTCTGCCACCCTCGCACATCGAGAGGTCTACGTCGCGCCAAGTATAGCGTTGATCGTCGACCCAATCGTCTAACAGGTGACGAAGAGGTGGCCATTTTCGACGAATCAGGATTCAACGCTTGCCATCGTGTCTTCGATGCGCAGGATGTCCCGCATTTTTCTGTTTTGTACTTCGGGAGACTAAAGTCTGATTTAACAAGAAGTTCGTAAACGTTGGGCTGAGAAATTATGACAAAAATAAGAAATGCGAGTAACGCGATAACGCCAACGTACAAGAGACGAATTAACGACAATAATCAACATCGCCTACGGAGAGGTTCGAAGAAATCGCAGCCAACTGTGAAATCAACAACAAATTCAATAACTCGTCGATGCCAAATTTGACTATATTTTCTATTCCTGTCATAAATTCTTAATAAAGCATTTATGTATCTTTTGTTGTGTAACATTTGTTAGTCTCATTTTTGCTTATAGAGTACACTGCCGAAGTACATACGAAAAAATGTAGGGCGCCATGTACATGAACGGTGTAAACGAAACTTCTTGATCAGTTAATTGTTATACGTATATATGTATGTGAATAAATTGTGTTCCTCTGTTTTGCTCTACAAATAGGAGATTATATAATTAAAGAAAATCTGTTGAATTCGGACCAGCGTCCAGATCTAATCAGATCTAACAACCAGCACTTAGTTCACACGTTATGGTCAATTAGTACCACTAATTCTTCCTCAAAATACATGCTAGTTCGACGAAAATGCTGGTCCAAACTCAAACTAAATTATTTTTTCTTCGAGAATGCTGTCTTACTGTGGGTTTATTATAATATGTAATAATAATAATAATAATATTATAATATATTAATATAATATATTATAATATTTAATTATATTAATATAATATATAATAATAATAATAATAATAATAATATTATAATATATATATATATATATAATATATTATTATAATATATTTATTATAATATAACACGCTCCGTTCACAGCGATCACATTTTGACGCAAGCGTTCCGTAGCGAACGGGTTGACGCGTTACCGTCACGAAAACGTCCCCTTCGAATCGGCAAAAATAGCGTCCCAATCTGCAGCTAGCACGTAATTCCCGAATCCAGCGCGCTCCGTAAAATCGGCCTCGTATCCCGGCAAAGACACCGCTGGTTGGGTTGCGCCGGTTTTCGGTGTGGGACCTTGACCGAGTGACGTTCTCCGAGCGGCATCGGTGTCGGCAGAGCGGCATGGCAGCGGCCGCGGCAGCGGGAGCAGCAGCAACAACGCGTGCATCAGGAGCAACGAGCACAGGTAACACACAGCGCGCGGGGCAGCATCGGCATCAGCCTCCTCGGCCGGTGTACCCGGGAGAGCATCGGCGCACCGGCAGAGCCGAGGAGCGCGGCGTGTGTGTATACCTGTTAAAGTCCTTATGTCCGTTGCTTCATCCGTTTCACCGTCCATCCGTGCTGCGTTCGTTCGTTCGTCCGTCCGTCTGTCCGTCCGTCCTTACGTCCGTCCGTCCGTCCGTCCGTGCATTCTCTCCTGCCTGTCTCTGTCGGGGCCCGGTCCGGTACGTCGGTGGGATAGGACGGAGCCGCGGTGGAAGGAGTAGTAAGCGGCCTACGCAGTATCAAGCTGGGTCCCAGCTTTTATTAGTTCTTCGGCGCTCGGCGGAGAACGGTGCGTGCCGAAGGAGTGGTAGCCCCTAAGTCGCGTAGCAGGTCCGGAATTACCTAACGAGACCCCGTCGTAATCGGTGCGAGCGAGTCGTCGAAGTGAATTGTACAGGTAGAGAACCACCGGGTGCCGGGACATTCGATCCTGGGCGCCGTCGCAGCATCGAAGCCGAGAGTTCGATCGGTCGCGACTTGAAACGAACACGCGCGTGTGCCACAGCCAAGAAGCAGTGACCTTTCGGGGAACAAGTGTTGCCGGACGGTTCGGATAAGTTCGTTTTGGTTATCGGCATCGAGAGAGTGTGCCGCGTGTAACAGCGCCGGCTAACAGTGAGCAAGAAAGAAATAGGTAGCTCTGGCCGGAGATCGAGGGGATGCTCTCTTGGCCGATCGATGATAATCGTCGCTAGGACGTCGCGTCGCATCAGGATCGGGAGCAAGGTGTTCGTCTCGCCGGTCCCACGGGACGAGACACCCGGCTGCCCTGGTGGCGGTGACAGTTGCTGTACGTGAGAGTGTTTTGTTCGGTAGAACCACGAGCCGCCGGGTCCTCTCTCTCCCTCGATCCTCCTTCGATCCTCTTCTTGCTGGTACGTCGCGGTCAAGGGGGATATCCTTAAAGAGCGCGCCAGAGGCACTACCGATCGGAATGCTACCGTGCCAGTGAAGGTAAATTGAATTCTGAAATTCGAACGGGGTCTACCATTGCCGGGTGCGTTGCCTTTGCGCTACCTTTGCGCCGCCTTCGCGCTGCCATTGCGCGCGCTCGCGCGCGCGGACTAACGCGTGACATCCTCGTCCCGGTGACGGATCGCCGTCTCGGACGAGTCCCTTCGCCGGCAAAAGGCAAGGCGGATTGACTCGTCGTCGACGGTCGATCGTCTCCCATCTATCTCGCCGCGGAACAACCGGTGATCCTCGACCGCTGTGACGGGAACGCTGCGCGTTCGAGGGGATCGGCCGCGAACAGGTGTCATCTTTGAGGGATCGGAGCGAGACTGGCCAGCTCTCCCGGTAGATCCCGGCGAGATCGTGTACCGTTTACCTTCTGTAAGTGTAGCGTGCAACGGAACGCCGGTCGTTGTGTTACGTAAAAGTTTGTTGCTCGCAGCAGCTTCTGTGTTCGCGCGAGGCCTTCGGGATCCGGGCTGCGAACAACCGAGTGTTCGCGATTAGACTGACCGATGATGATGCGCGAAACACGTGAGAGACGATCCGCTAACGAGGTTGCAAATTGCCTCAGCGCCGGCTGGCTAGATTTTCTTCCTCCCTCGAAGAACGAACACCGTTTTCCGTCGTCGCCTTCCTCCCTCCCCGCCCCGCGTGTCGCGTTCCCGCGCGCCGCGTACGTTTCACGGGCGCCGCGGCTTGACTGACAAATCACGCTTACAATGAAATCACTGTAATTATCGCGGTCGCGGCGGGACATCTAACACGCGACATCGCTCGCGTCTGGCCCCGTCAAACGGTCCGGCAACGGGAAACGTTAATCGAAAGGGAAATGACTTTCGTTGCGAATAGATTAGAGACGGGAACGCGACTTACTCTACCGGTAGATTGGATCACGTCGACGATAGGGAAACCAGAAATCGTCTCGCTCGCTCGGACGATCAATTAACGCGGTTGAAACCGACCCTTTAATCAGCTGTCCGCGAGAGGGAACGCTGACGCGATTGGACGTCGCGTTCTCGGCCTGGGATTTCGATCGTTGGCAACGGACACGTGATCGTCGGACAGGGTCGAATTATTGTGTTGCTTTTTTCATTTTCTTCGCTTTGTCTGGGGAGCACGTTTTTCCAAGTACCATTGAACGTCGACTTTCGAGCACCGATCGCCGCGTCGCGTCGTTACGAGTGTTAACCCTTCGCACTCGAAGCCATTTTAACTGTAAATCTAAATCAATATTTCTGACTTATGGTATTTCCATTTTATATAACAAAGTGCATTTTATGCATATATGAAATTTGAAATATGAAATTTGTAGTAGTTATATACGTATGAAATTTGTAGTCTTGCGACTCGTACAACAGTTAGACTTTTAAGGAGTTTTTTACGTCTAGACTTTTATAATATAAAAATTATCTCGGGACGTGATGTAACGATTTTAATGATGCCTCAGAATCGCCACTCGAGAGTGCAAACGGTTAAATGTCTGTCCAAATGTTGAATATTCGTTTTCCCATGCTAATGAAAACGAATGACTTTTTAAAGAACGGTTTTGAAGTTTTCTGCAAATACGTTACATTGAAATTTCAGGCAAAAATGCGGAAGCGATCAATTTTATAAATCGTCGAATTCAGGCATTTTGCAAAAAGGTTCGTCCTTTGACGCGCGTATCACGATTTTCCCGAATTTAACCACTGTGCAGGTTAAATTTTGTAGATTTACATCGCGATCCGATTATCCGTGATGCGGTGAAACGAAGAACTGAAAAATATTTCACGAAGTTTACGCAAATTTGATGTGACAAAACTGAATACAAGGAACGTAAAAGGAAAATTAAAACTGTTCGAGGATGTCGATGTATTATATTAAATAAAGAATGAAAGAACATTTTATTATTTATTTTGCCTAAAGATCCGCAGTCTAATCGTACCTAATCAAACGATACGTTCTGTTCATAAATTGTAAAACAATTGTTTGGAAATCGCTCTTCTTCGATCAACTATACCGAACCGGTATAACGAATTGCAATATCCGTATTTTAAAATGCGCGATAAAATGCGCAGATTATACTATTGGAACTAAAACAAGTTTATGTTTGCCCCAGCTGAAACGACTCGTTGCGCGATTAAAAATTGTTTTGTAAAAAATCCAGACGTGGCTAGTCGTTCGCAAGTCGTTTATAAATAAATTAAGCGGAGCCGGCTTTTATGGAGCGGGTATTGGAAAAGTCTCGCGAAGAAAACGACGAGTATAAACGGAAAGGAAATGAGCAGAGGGTGTGGGGGGGAGGACTGAACGCGTTCGGTTCGGATAAAAATTCGGGCCGATGTTGACGCGCAATAAAAGGGCCACGTGGAGCTTGACACAGTTACGAGGCACGTCGTCGTCCTGTTTCAGCGTCCTTCTCGACACGTCCCTCGTTAAGTCCAGAAATAGACGCCGGCGAGGGCTTATGAACAGCTCAATCCTTTTGCTTCTCTTTTCTCCCTTTCTTCTGCTCGCTCTTTTGTTTCGCCTGTCCGCTCGCAGCAAGCTTCGCGGAATGAAGATCGCGCCTCGATCTGACGTGCGAATCCCCGCGGCTCACCCGTGACCGAATCCCTCGTCTTTTATTGCGTCGGGAATACGGCGTCGCGACGCGAACCTCCCGCGAAAGTTCGGTGAATGGGAGAACCGGGGGGCGGGAATTAATCGCCGCCTATGGCCGGGTCTACTTCGACCCGAACATAAAACGAGGGTTGAATCTCCGTCGACAGAAGATTCGTTCAATTTGTTTGACAACATTTATTGTATTTGCTTGTTAACGAGCGACAACAATAAATTTTGTTATTTTGAAACTTTTATCGAAACTTGTGCTTTTCATGCAGTCGATTATTTTTATTTATTTATTAGTACTTGAATAGTTTCTTTGAAACATTCAAGCTAAAATCAATTCATGGTATCAACAAGTTTTCGTTTGTGATAAATATGTATGATTGCATTGTTATTCATTTTAAAAACATTGCTGATGTACGTGGATTCTCGGATATTAAAAATTATTCGATCGGCGGATGATTGTATTGGCTGATCATTTTTCAGTGCATTATTAGCAGAGAATTGCTGTTGATAATTGAAATTAAATTTTTATAGAAATATTGTTTTTATAACAGGAATTGTTATTATATGACTTTAAAAAATGTAGAAAATACAATTTTTTCATAATTTGTAATAATAATAAATTGATATTACGTTTACCGTTTAGAAAAACACTTTCGAGAAAAACACATTGAAAGTTTCGTAGACCAATACTCGTCATTCATGTTATTAATATTAAAAAATTAAAAATTGTAGGCGTATTTTTGATGTTATATTATTAAAAAAAAAAATACAAAAGAAAGCGATTTTATCAAAGGCTCGCACTAGAATACTTCTTTAATCTCAATAATTAAGTAACTCGAATCAAATGTCAGTCCTTCTTAATTAAATTGTCCGAACTAACATTTTTTATCATCGATAAAATAAAGCTTTAAATGAATAAAATCATTTTTAAATAAGTGAAAACAAATAAATGAAATTACAGTTGGAATTCTACGAAGTTCAGAAAATTTTCTCCAATTGTCTCTCAGCTTCTAATCAAAAATAGACCATTTGGGAAGAGGAGATACGATTACTCTATTATTACTTATATTATTATTATTATATGATATTATTAGTTATTAATTCTATTTTATAGTTGTTGACAATCGGCTGTAAAAACGAGCCGCAAGGCTCGAATGATCGTATCTCCTCTTCCCAAATTGTCCAGTTTTATTTACAAGCTGATGGTCAATTAGAGAGAATTTACTGTATATATAGAATACCCTGCCTCCACTGCAAAGGTAAGAAGCACGCGATGATTCCAAATACCTTCAAATATCGTGAAATGTGGTAAATTAGTAGATAAGACATTTTAACCAAGGACGGCAGATTACGTTCTTCGGCTTCGGCTTTGCAAAATTATCGTTATAAAAACGTTAGTTATAAAAAACCACGGTTCCGGATCTGATTAGTTCCACAAGCCGAGAACTTCGCGAGCCGTGAACGCATGAAAATTCCCGGTGCAATAATATTATATTTATACCCGTATGTAGACATAATTATTTCTGGCTCGCACAAATTACAGCACCACGGGCTTGGTGTTTTCTTGTCGCGAAAAAGTTCGAGTTCGTTTGCTCCTCGAATTCATTTCCACTCGAATCCGTAGCTGTCGCCGGAGAATGTAAATAACATTATCACGAGCGTGTCGTAAACATTCAAAATTCAGATTCCGCGGCGGACCTGCTGTTGACCACAGGATCTCCATACCCGTATACGAAACGACATGTTTTCGTTGATAGCCGCGCGTAACGAGGACTTTTCAGGAACAGTTACGACGTCCGCGGCAATTTATTAACCAGCTTCGATATTACACCGTGAAACGCGGCAGGTAAATTGGTGCACGGTGTAATGCCCTAAAACGAGTAACGAGAGAAAAAACAAGTTCCCTCGAATCTTCATAGCGATCTTATTGTTTCTCCGCGGTATCGGGAACGTTTATATAGTCGCGTCATAAATAATCGAGGAAAAATGGTCTGCGGTATCGCATGCGCCTTATTCGCGAAACCGAACTCTTTTTACAAGCTGTCCTCACTGACCACGACGAGTCGCTTAAAAACGTTTTCATATCGTTGCTTTTTGGTTTTACTCGTCGTTCCGCCGTGTTTTCGTATTCACGCGGTATATTATTATTTATGCGGCGAATGCAGCCGAAGGAGTGCCGGAATAGTGCGTAAACTATTTATAATTCTGAAGCGCGAAAGAATTTTCTTCGCTTCTTTAACTCTTCGTGTTCCAACTTAATTCGATCACTGCCTCTATTCCCGAAAATGTTAACCGTAAATCTTTTTTGTATCATGAAGTGATACAAAACCAAGTATAAAATATATTACATTTTTCTGCCATATATGTATAGACAGAAATAAATAACCAGGTTTAAAATTGTTACT